GTCTCAGTAGTTAAGAGCACTGGCTGCTCTTCCACAGGACCTGGGTTCTAGTCTCAGAATCCGCATGGCAGTCTGCAATTGTCTGTAACTCCAGGGAGTCTAATGCCCTCTTCTGGCCTACCTGGGCATTGCACACAGATAGAGCATGTACATACATGCAAGCAAAAGACTCACGTGAATAAAATAAAAATAAGTGAATCTTTAAAATGAAAACACACAATAATTTTACCCTGTCACAAGCCTCAATCATATACATAAAATACAACCCAGAAGTCCTGGTTGAGGAAATACCACCCTTTAGATGCCGAGCATATTTTGGCACACAAACATAGCACCAAACAGCTGCCACAGAAACAAAGGGGCAGTGTAGCATTCGACCATTCTGAACTAAGTCCTGAAAAACACAGGTGACCGTTTCTGTGGTATGATTAGGTTTATCTAAGAAAAGTCAGACATGAGAGTGAAATCTTCAGGCTTTGTATTCTGGTACAGTCTGATTGCAACCATGGAGACAGAAAGCCAAGCTGAATAGCCCTAAACATGACTGAACACCAAGTGTGCTGGTTACTTCAGGAGATGTCACCTTTTGGCTTTCACTAGTGCATCAAGAGTGTGGAATATGCTATCCCAAACATGGAAACAGCTACTAGTCCATTCACATAAATGACTCAGTCTCAGTGTTAGACCTAACTGGGGTCACTCCAGACTGTTGATTTACTGACAGAAGAATCCAACTGTAAGTTTGGTGTAGATACATGCTGAGACTCTCTAAATTCTCAATCTTCCTAATGCTGTGACCCTTTAATACCATTCCTCATGTTGTGGCCCCAACCATAAAATTATTTTTATTGCTGCTTCATAACTGTAATTTTACTACTGTTACGAAACTTAATATAAATATCTGTTTTCTGATGGTCTTAGGTGACCCCTGTGAAGGACAGTTCAATCCTCAAAGGACTCATGACCCACAGGTTGAGAAATGCTAGTCTAAGGTATCTCACAGCAGCAGGACAGGGAACAGGGCTCAGAGCTGAACTGACTTGGGTGGCCGCTAAGATTAACTATGCAGGTGCCTTGGCAGCCATATGCAGGCATTTCCTGCAACTACATTTCCACCCCAACTGTGTAATTAATCCCTCAATGACAGTTTTTAAATCTCACTTCAAAAATTCTTCTGTGTATGATCTTTCACCCAAATGGAGTTTCTTCCCCTTAGAGCTGTTAATGTTATAAATCAAAACTAGTATCCCTATATATCAAATTATGTTTTCCTTTGGCATCTGATGCTATTTTATAAGAGGTCTTAAAGTCACATAAATTTTGTTGCCACTCGAGGCAAGTAAAAGCAAGTGTCACATTTAATAATCATGAGTTTAAATCACCTTTACAAATACACAGGAACAGTATACTATAAGTAGGTCAGGGGTTACTGTCATCACTGCTCCAGTGAGTAAGGGACTCTAAGCTTAGAGAGGTTTCCTGTGTTGTTCAGTGTCACATGCTTAGTCGGTATTCAGATTCTCTACTTTAGCATTCTCCATGCAGAGGTGTGTGTATGTCTTCTATATCTTCTAAGTTTTCACACACACACACACACACACACACACACACACTCACACTTCCCAAGAAGAGAAACCCATCTGCCTAGAATTCCTAACTTCACCCCTCCACTTTCGCCAGAAGCACACAGGAATATGGCATTTCCCATGAAGTCACAGAGGAACAGGAGGATGACCCCTCTCCCCTGCAGCCATGGGAAGAAACGAAAGAGGAAATAACCTTCCAACCTGGAAATGCACACAGCGTGAGTCATCTGTTTTAATGTAATGGCAGCAGGCTCTGTAGTCCTTGCATGGAGAAAGTGGAAAGAACAACTTCCAGCCAGAAGTCAGGGACTTGGGCTGGTGCATAGTGACTTTAAATGACTTTTCCTTTCATCAAAATTTAAATATGATTCTTCACTCTACTCCCACAGACATGTGGCCGTAAATAGAGGAACAATAGGGAGAATTGAGTAAACCATGAGAAGAGACAACGAATGATGTCAAGACAGCCATGTGTGCAATAGGAAAACATCACATGAAGGCAAATTTCAACAAAGGCGAGTCATCTCAGGTGACAGGAATTTCTAAATCTTTTAGCAATGACTCTATTAACTCCTGAGTCTTAGGAAATAGCTAATCATATTTATCAATACAACGTCAACAAGGGCTTAACCTTGCTTTGGTTGGCACTTCAGTGAGCATACTTTTGCACAATGATGTCAACACACTGAGTGAGGCTTTGTTTAGAGGAACAAGCTCTTAATTCCTTACCAGTTAGAGATTGTAGAAAAGGACCCACCAGTCCAGAACAATGGGCAACTCACCTTGGCTTCATCTGTGCTCTCATTTCATTTTTGTCTTTAGACACTCTTTCCCAAGTACATCAAGACAAGCCTAGACATCCAGAGCCCCGTTTAAAGCAAACTGAGCTGCAGCCTATGGTGACACAGACTCTTCTGTTTCCAACAACTAACTGAATCGACTAGAGGACATTTCACTCTCAGGAAATGTGGAAATTAAATACAATTCGCTTTCACTTTTGAGTCATTCCTATAGGAGTGGATACAACCAAGCCAGACTGGGATCAGCAAAGAAGGACATGGCAGTAACTGTTAGGTTCGAGGCTAACAGCATTTACCATGAGTAAGGCAAAGAAGGGAGGCAGGGAGGACTCACTACCAAGAACACCGTTGGTTAGTATTCAGGGCAATGAGGAGTTCAATTAAACTTCTAACTTTTTAAAAAATCATATTTGGGAAAGGAAGACAATTTTAGTTATATGACTAAGTGTACTCATTAGTTAGCTCATATTTCCCAAAATAAATAAGTATTCAGCAAAAATGTTTAATTCTGTTGATTGATTAACATGTTAGAAGTATTGATCATAAAAAGTCAATTCCTGGAAATACAATACCTAAAGCTTCTCATGACAGTACTATCACCATGGATAAGAATGGTATGTTTTTTATGCTTAGTTAGCTTTGTGTTACCATAACAAAATGCTTAGGATAGTTGACTTATTAAAAAGAAAAACAAGGTTTACTTAGCTCATTTGGGACCCACGTTAGCACCTTTGCTTGGGCAATGCAGAGGTGTGTGAGGAGAGAAATTGCTTATACCACAGACCAGGAAACCAAGCAAGGGGAAGGAGCAAGCAAGGGTCCATAAACCCCCACCACCACCACCACCACTTAGCAAAAGCCTCACAACCTCCTTAGGGTGCTCTGCCAATGGCCAGTGACTTACCTCAGGCCCCACTTCCAAAATACTTCAATACTTCCTAATAATTGTATCCTGGGAAATAAGACTTGAACCCACGGGAACATCTGGTGTCCAGGCAATAGCAAGTTGCAAGAATGTCTCTAAAAAGAACATGTTTAATACCCCTTAGAGATAAAATAAGAATAGTTGAATTCTTTTTATTTCATAACTTTTATTTTTGTTGTCTTGAAATAAGCATTTGATGACTTAAAAGAGCACGTATAAGTTAACAGGAATTTGTTTTTCTCCTTAGTGAAATTAAGAACACTACCAAAGACATCCAAGATCCATCCAGCTCTTGCAACAACACATGCACATAACTAGATCTCCACAAATAGCTGTGAGATGGATGTATGAGCCACTATATGCTTAAATTGCTTCTTTCATTAAGTTTTTATTGACATATATTAATTGTGCATAATAATAGATTTCATTGTGACATTTTATACGTGTATAATGTATTGTGATCACATTCATCCCAGTGCCCTCTTTTGTCCCCTCCCATGCCTACTGATCCCCTTCTTCCCAATTTGTCCACTCGGCTTTCATGTCTGTCTCTAAACTGGCTTCATGAATAGTACACACACCTTTACACACTTAACACATGTGTGTGGTGAAAGGCATCCAAGCAGAGTCAGGACAAGACAGTTTAATGTAAGACGATCACAAAGAACTGAGCTTCAGCTTCCCCTTCACTAAGATGAGACTCATCACAATACCCTCTCCATCCACCCACTGTGCACATAGGAGCACACATACAAAGTCTAGCAGAAAATTTTAATGTACTATATAACCAAAAAATTGAGATGATTTTTTAAACATGTGTTTTACCTATATCATCTACTAAAGTAAGTTTAAAAACAAAAAATTAAGGCAAAGGCTAGTCAGTTGCAACCTTCATAAATGTGAAATATAGCTAGGGAAGAAAGTGATTTTTTTAGAGATCAGAAAGTGTCATTCTAAAAGAAATAATGGCTATATAAATTCCTGCTGTAAGTATTTGGAGCCAGATTTTATGGAGTCAGCTTTGATCCTTAAATTCATATTGATTTTGGTGTAATTCAATGTATGTTTTCTTAAGCATTTAATTCTTTCCTAATACTAATTTTAACTTCTTAGTTTTTTCAACTTCTCTGGAGATAGGATGTAGCTGAATGGTAGGATACTTGCCTCCCATGCACAAGGGCCTGGGCTACACAGCACCACTTACACACATATACAGACAAGGTAAGTGACTTGAAAATCATATACGAAGAGTCCGTTCTCCAAATGATTACTACATATGCATATATATACATATACATATACATATATATACATACATACACATAGAGAAAGACAGAGACAGAGACAGAGAAACAGACAGACAGACACACAAACAGACAGAGAGACTCTCTGCAGTTTGAACTCATCTCGTGCTCGGCTGAAGGTTTGTGAAAAACCAAAGCATCAGCGCAGAGAGGCATTTTCAACTGCACACAGAATTGAGCGAGAAAGTGGGGGTTTGGAATGAATCTGTGGCCATGGGTTTTAAAGCAGACAATGCTGGCCAGTCACTGCCTTCCTCCCTCCACAGAGAGCAGCTGCTACTTAAAGAAGCCCCTTCAGGCCTCCCAGCGGCCTCAAGGGCAACTGACCGTAGTATCTCCCGCTCCTGTGTCACTGTCATGGGGAGCCCTGGAGAAACGCCTCCACTCTCAGCTAGTGGACATCAGCAAACCAGCAATATCAGTCAAAGTTGATTTTTGGGAAACGCTGGTTCGGTTTCTAGCTTTATTACTAATCAACACTTAAGCTGAGGCAAGTCAATCTCTGCACCTAGATTTCTCTCAAAATGAGGATGTTAGGGAAACAACTTCTGAATTTCCAGCTAACCTTAGAGTTCTGTTTCTACATAGTTGTCTTATCATGTCATTGCTGGGAACTATAACTAACAGTGTCCATGTTCCTAATGTTATGTCACACCTTAAAGTCCTTAATTTCTATCTTTTGAAAATATTATTGATAGTGTCTCCAAGTTGGTTTTATAAGATCACTTTATAACAAGAAAGTAAATTTTAGAACAATGTGGACAAGGGGAGGACCCCTGGGTTACGGCAGCTGCACTCTCATGGAAGGAAACACATAGTCCTCCATAGTGCAGATCTGAGAGGCAGCTTCCTCTCCCAGCTCAAGGATCTCGCTCTATATAGTCTGTCATAGCAATGGTTAAACTGGATTGTCTCATTTTCTCGTGTAACCTTACCATTTTTAAGGATTTAATTTAGAGCTAAACAATGCTTAGTAAAATACTCCCTCACCTTATCAAAGCACTAGAAAAACTGCTGAAGGCAAGGTGTGATGCTGTGAGGTGGCGTCCTGCCACTTCCCAGAGGCCTTAGATCACACTGTTCTTTTTAGCAAATTAAAATTATCCTGGATGGCTGGAAAACATCTGGAGAAAGCTGCCTGGCTCCCAGAGTTGCAGTTTGTTCCTGTGACTGCCTCCATGACATCTCTTAACTGCCTTCTCTGCCATCAGTTTAGGTCTTACCCCTTCTTCCGAATCATTTGATGGCCTCATCTAGTATACATGACCTGGAGGTCCAAACCAACAACCTATTCATTGCAATCAGTTCAAGTTCCAACAGTGAGATACCAGAGCAGTGGAGCACAAGGAAGGACGGGTACAGTGGTTCTCTGAACCATCTTTGCCCAAACTTAGCTTAGACTGAAGTCTCCTTTTCTGTATATAGATGATTATGAAAACCTTGACCTTGCAAGTCCCTGGTGTCACTCAGAGCTCCCAGCTCTCTGAACCAGCTGTGGCTGGAAGGTGCTCTAGGAATACTGGTTGATTTTTAGTACCAATGGAAAAGAATCTCTTTTTCACTAGACTTACTACAGAAAACTACTGATTGTGTAGAAACATGCATAGACTCAAGTACCTAGAAGTAAGGGGTCACAACATTCTAGGAGATCAGAGCCAGAACAATGGGTATGCAGTGCACTTACATGGGATTTACATGAAGATACTTTAAGTCTCTACAGCTTGCTTTATAAACAAGGTACATTATTAGCAAATTAGCAGTCAGTTATACGCCATTATTGTGCTTAATGCACAGTTCATGTTCATTGTCCTTCACCCTGAAACATTTAATCAGTGTAGGAATAATTCTCCCAGTTTGGTAAGTGATCCAAAGTTGCTTAGTGGTGCTTAAGGTTGCAACCTGCTGAGGAAGCTGTAAGACAAAGTCTTAGTCTTTATTTGAAATTATCTTCCATCCTAGTCCATGGTGTTACTGTCTGCCTTTATTGCCACATCTGTGAATTGAATCTGTGAATTAGGTCCCATTCCACTCTGAGCTGTGATGATTGATGGTGGGATATGAGTGCTGGGTCAGTTAATGAACTGTTTGGATGACCTGAAACTAGCTTGAAATAAATCAATCTGTGTGGCCATGAATAGATAGGGAGTACAGATGATGTTCTTGGCCTTCAGCCTTGTGGGAAAAAGGTAAAAGTAGCTGGGGATCTAAGACTTGCCATGTGAGTGCCCTTCCATTTATTCTAGCTTGCTAGCAAATAAGAAATGATTTTGGTATGTCTTTACCAAAAGTATCCAGGAAGCTTTATAGTAGGAAGCCACATAGTCGTATGCATAACAGAAATTGTGCTCTGTACCTTTTAACTACTCAACTGATATCATCTAGACTGTGATTCTGGAAATGACTTGGTTTCCCCAGGCAAAAAGCATGATTTATTTATCCTATATCGCATATAGCTGGAACAGCAAATAAATTGCAGAGGCAGACGGAGCAATTGAGCCAAAAAAACTAAACAGCAATATTTGGTGCATTTCTTGGCAATTGAATTTTGTCAAAGTTTAAACCCATGCTCTTGTACATTTTAAAGCTCTATCAGGTAAGGCAGGACAAATGTGCCAGATTGGTTTCTACTTTCAATCTCTGAATTCTGAAATGCAATATGAAATTCTCCTTAAATGATAGCAATCTTTCCTTTCCATTGATTCAGTAATTTTTAAAGTATACACTGTAGAAATGAGCTAAGTGGTTACTGCAGAACACATCATTGACCTCATTGATATTTTAAAGGTTACCTGGCATGCACATCATTGAAATATTAGAATTAGCACTTCCTGGAAAATTATAAATAGGTATTTTTCCTTGGTTTTGAGGCCAGCTGCTACATTTTATACACCCAAACTGCCTTTGACCGGTTTCATGAAACTGACCTGTGAAATCATACACTGCTGGGGTTACTGTTCTTTCCAGGTAGAAACTTCCAGGTATAAGCAAGACGCTAAGGCCAGAGGAGACTGATTCAAACACACAGTAGCCAGAGGGTGAAACTTTCCAAAGACAAAATGGAAATGTAGTCACTTAACAGGACATGTGCCCTTGCCCTTTAACGGAGCAAGTCCATGTTGCAATGAGAGCAGCTGCGATTGTGCAGCAGCTTGGGTCCAGACAAGAAGACATTCTCGCATTGCACTGCAGAACAAACACAGTGTCCATGCTTCCTCCTCGTCTTCTGTCAACCTACGATTGCTTCAGGGGCAAAGTGACTTCGTGTGAAGAACTGCAGAGTAACTGGCATTTGTTCACATAGAAAGTTGAAGACTGTGGAATTTTCTCTACTAGAGAACAATAAAATTATTGGTTTCAACTGAGTCATACAGCACATTTGTTCTTTAATGTCCTTCATTATTTGTGGTATACCAATATTATTAGAGTTCAGAGCTGAATAATACTGTCTCTGTTGGGTGGAGAAAGGAAAGCAGTAATTGACAGACATAGCCATGACAGAATTCCCTTTCTTCTTCTGAAGTCAGATTACTACCTCATCTACTTGTTTTCTTAAAAATGAGGAGACTGTCCGGGCGGTGGTGGCACACGCCTTTAATCCCAGTCAAGCGGATCTCTTTGAGTTCAAGGCCAGCCTGGTCTACAGAGCAAGATCCAAGACAAACACCAAAACTACACAGAGAAACCCTGTCTCAGAGAGAGAGAGAGAGAGAGAGAGAGAGAGAGAGAGAGAGAGAGAGAGAAGACAGGTGAGGGACCAATATTTACTATCCCTTAAAATTCGTGACGTTCACAGTACAGAAAAAAACTAATATTGCATAAGCCATGCATTGATTCTGCATGATTTAAGAACAATATTAGTTTTTAAGACATAAAATATAATAGGTGTTTGAACAGACCATCTGATTTCTAAAAATCTTAACCAGATAGGATACGAAAGTAATGTCTACTTAGAGTCAAAGGAAGCAGCAAATTTGAGTGAATTTTTAAGAAGATAATTAAGAGTGTGTAGAAAGAGTTTATTTAGCCGGGCGGTGGTGGCGCATGCCTTTAATCCCAGCACTCAGGAGGCAGAGCCAGGCAGATCTCTGTGAGTTGGAGGCCAGCCTGGGCTACCAAGTGAGTCCCAGGAAAGGCACAAAGCTACACAGAGAAACCCTGTCTCGAAAACACCAAAAAAAAATAAAAAATAAAGAAAGAGTTTATTTAAAAAAATCCTGTAGTAAGGTTACTATATTCCTGGTCTATTGTTTGAATATTTTGATAAGTGCTTCTACTTATTTCTTAAATGTCTGCTAGAATTCTGCAATGAAGCCATCAGGTCCTGGGGCCTTTCCTTGATGGAAGACTTTATTGATGTTCAATTCCACTCGGTGTTTTGAGTCCATCTAGGTTTTCTGTTTCTTCATGAGTCAGGTCTAGTAGTTTGCATGTGTACAGTTGTCCATAATCATCTCTAATGGTCCTTTGTACTCCTGAATCATCAACTGTAATGCCAAATATTTGTATCTTTCATTTTATGTGAGTCCTCTTCTCCTTAAGATCAAGAAAGAAAACAAATACCACAGACCAATATCCCTAGTGAACATGATGTGAAAATTCTCAGCAAAATACTAGGAAGTTAAACTCAAGAGCACATTCAAATGATTGTTGTGAACAAGTGGATTCATCCCAGGGAGCAGGATTAATAAAGCATAAACAAATCAACAAGTGTGACACATTACAGTAAAGCAATGCTAATCTTACTATCATTTCAATAGATATAGAAAGTGTTTAATGAAATTCAACACTCCATCATTGCAAAATCTCCCAACACATTATTTTAACATAATATACTTCAACACAATAAAGGCCATCTATAACAAACTCATAGCTATAATCATACTCAGTGAGGGCAAAAAAGACTTTTCTTCTAAGATCTTGGACAAGATGAAAATTCCCAGTTTTACTACTTTTATTCAATATAGTATGGAGAGTCCAAGAAAGTATTCAAGAGAATGAAATAGGGACATCTATATGAGGTACCTTTCTTGCCTTATGACCAAATACCTGACAGGAAGCAGTTTAAGGGAAGAGGAAGTCTTAGGCTCACAGTTGAACGGAAACAGTCTGTCATGGTGTAAAAAGAGAGCAAAACACATGGTTGTGCATCTTGGTAATCAGGAAAAGAGCTAGAGCCAGAGCAGAATGAGGCTATAGTCTTCAAGGACCAGTGATACACTTCTCTCAGCAAAGTCCACCTACTAATTTCTCTACAACCTCCTAAAACATCGCCAAAGGCTAGCAAGTAAGTGCTTAAACACGAGTCTATGTAGAAATTTTACCTCTGAACCAGAATGACATCTAAATTAGAAAGGATGACGACTGTCTTTGTTTGCTAATGACATTATTTCATACGCAAAAAGCCCTAAAGATACCAACAACTCAACTGATAAATTAGTTGCAACTAATAAATTACATTTAGCACACAGAATCAAAACAAAAAAATTGATAATATTTCTGTATGCTAATAGAGATGTCTGAAAAGAAATTCAAGAAAACAATCCCAATGAGAATAGCCATAATAATTATCTTGTAGTACCTAAAGAGGTACTTTATAATGAAAATGAAAAAATTTTGATGAAAGAAATTAAAAAGGAAGGCTATCTCATGTTCATGAATGGAAATAATTAAGACTATTAAGATGTCCAAAGCAATCTACAGAAAAATATTAATGTCCTTGTTCACACAATTAATAAATCAATCTCAAAACTTATGTGGAAACATCAGCCAAAGAAATCCTAAGTAAAAAGAAACAAAACAGAATATCAGACTTTAAGATACACAACACTATATAATCAATATAACATGACATCAGCACAAGTGAAAACACAGACCAATGAAACAGAAGAGAATACCCAGGGACAATGGCATGCATGTGCACCTAGCCAGCTTCTCACAGAGGACCAAGATAAACAGTGAGAAGTGAGGGCATCTTCAGTAAATGACGCTGAGGGATTGGATAGCCACATGCCAAAGGATACTGGAGCCTTTGAAATCTCTTGACTAGTACAAATACCAATTCAACATGGATTGATTACTTAACTGCAAGATCTTGTACTATAAAGCTGCTAGAAGAAAACACAGGGAAACACATTAGAATGTTTGTTTAGGCAATGATACTTGGATTTGGTACAAAATGTATCGGTAATAAAGACAAAAGTGGACACAGGGTACTTGATAAAACAAAAGATTCTATAATAGCAAAGAACACAATAGACAACCTATAAAAGGGGATAAATCGTTTGAAAACTATATATTTAAAAAAGAGGACAAAATCCAGAATACATAAGGAACTAAAACAACTTGATCACATAAAAACAAATCATCTCATTTGATAATAATGAGAAAAAGATCTGAACAGATATTTATCAAGAGAAGACATACAAATGGCCATAAAATTTTATGAAAAAATGTTCAGTATCATTAACTGAACATACAGGAAAAAAACAAATGTAAACCACCATGAGATGTTACCACATGCCAGTGAGAACAGTTATCAAAATAATAATAATAATAAGGAACAAAAATACTGGCAAAGGACGTGGAGGAAAGGGGACACTTGTACTTTGTCACAAGAAATATATATTATTCTGGGCATGGTGGTGCGCAGCTTTAATCCCAGCACGTGGGAACCAGAGGCAGGTGGATCTCTGTGAGTATGAGGGCAACCTGGTCTACTGAATGAGTTCCAGAACAGCCAGGGCTATGTAGAGAGAACCTGTTTCAATCCCCAACCCCATATCATTTAAAAGAAAAACAAGAAACGTAAACTACTATCGCTGATACAGTAAACACACACACACACCAGTGATTGCTAATTCCTATTACTTTTTTGGTGGTGGAGGAGGTGGTAGTGTGTGTGTGTGTGTGTCTGTGATCTCTTAGAGTCTGCAAGACATCTGTCCAGGTCCTTCTGGCTTTTATGGTCTCTGTTGAGAAGTTAGATGTGATTCTAATAGGTCTTCCTTTATATATTACTTGGCTTTTTTCCCTTGAAGATTTTAATATTTTTTTCTTTGTCCTATATGTTTAGTGTTTTTTTTTATTATTATTACATGGCACAGGGATTTTCTTTTCTATTACAATCTATTTGGTGTTCTATAAGCAGTTGTATCTTTATAGGCATGTCCTTCTTTAAGTTAGGAAAATTTTCTTCTATGATTTTGTTAAATATATTTTCTGAGTTTTGAGCTAGGATTCTTCTCCTTCCTCTACTCCTATTATTCTTATGTTTGGTGTTCTTATAGTTTCCAGATCTCCTGGATATTTTGTGTTAGGAGATTTTTAGCTTTAACATTTTCTTTAACTGGTGAATCTATTTCTTCTATTGTATCTTCAACACCTGAGATTCTCTCTTCTATCTCTTGAATTCTGTTGATGATGATTGTGTCTGTAGTTCCTGTTGGCCTACCCAGATTTGCCATTTACTCTAGCCTATCCAGAACCTCCTCACTTTGTGTTCCCTTTACTGCTTCTGTTTTTATTTTCATGTCTTGAATAGTTTCCTTCACACGCTTGATTTCTGTTTTTGTTTGTTTTTCTTGGCTATCTTGGCATTTTTTTAGGGATTTTATTGATTTCCTCCGATTTTTTTAGGGATTTTATTGATTTATTGATTGATTTTTTATTGATTTTTTTAGGGATTTTATTGATTTCCTCCAATTCTTTGGTTGTCCTTTCCTTAATTTCTTTAAGGGAGTTTTTCATTTCCTCTTTAAGGACCCCTAACATTATTTTTAAGGTCATTTTCTTGTGCTTTGGCTGCCTTGAAATATTCAAGTCTTGCTTTTGTAGGGTAGCTAGGGTCTGGTGGTGCCATTTTGCTCTGGCTATTGTTGGTTGTGTTCTTACATTGGCATTTAGGCATCTGGTGTGGAGGTGATTATAGGTCTAGGTTCTGATTTCTGGTTTTGTCTTTGTTGAATGGGTGTTTTGTTCCTTGGTTTCTGTTTTATTTTTGGTCTTTTAGTCTTTGTGGCCTGGATTTCTAGTAGACAGGGTGGGCTCTGGTCTAGTAGGGAATCTCTGCTCAAGTTGAGAGCTGGCCTTCTGGAGCTTAGCTTGGCCTTTTTGCGGTGGGGGGTAGGGGGGATCTTCTGATTGGTATGGCCTGTTTTTTGTTTTTTGTTTTTTTGTTTTATTGTTTTTGTTTTTGTTTGACTGCTGTGGTCTGTAGCTGTTCCTTCAACGGTACCTGACCTCTTGACAGCTGCTCCTTTGATTGCTTTGGACTGCACCCAAGCAATAGAATTCTACCTGAGTTCAGGGCACAGCCCAGTAGTGGTGTTGGTGTTGAAATGAGAGGGAGAGGGCCACAGGATGTATGCTGAGTGAGGATCAGGATCTAGGGAGTGGGACAGTTAGGCTGGGAGGTGGGTCATTTATCTGTTCTTCCAACTGGTGTGAACTGTACCTGAGCCGATGAAGTCTTCCAGAAATGGGGGGAAGGACTGGCCATGGGGAGGATGATGTGGTTAGAGGACTTGGGTGTTGGAATGGGTCATAGAGGAACAGAATCAAATGGGTAGGGTAGTCCAGCTAGCAAGCAGGTCACCCACCCACTCCTCAGACTGGTATGGACTGCACCCAAGCATTGGAGTTCCTCTGGAGTTGGGGGCAGGGCCCAGCAATAGTCTTGGTGCTGAAATGGGAGGAGGAAGGCCTCTATCAGCCTTCTCTTTGGGGGGGGATGGGGAGGAAAGCATTTGTTTGAATTATTATTATTATTGTTATTATTTTGATTTTTTTTTTGTTTTTTTTTGTTTTGTTTTTTGTTTTTTTTGGTTTTTCGAGACAGGGTTTCTCTGTGTAGCTTTGCGCCTTTCCTGGAGCTCACTTGGTAGCCCAGGCTGGCCTCGAACTCACAGAGATCCGCCTGACTCTGCCTCCCAAGTGCTGGGATTAAAGGCGTGCGCCACCAACGCCCGGCTTTATTTTGATTTTTTTAAGACAAGGTTTTTCTGTGTACCCCTGGCTATCTTAGGACTCCCTTTACAGACTAGGCTGGCCTTTAATTTAGAGAGCCACCTGACTCTGCCTCCTGAGTGCTGGAACTAAAGGTGTGTTTCACCTTTATTTGACTTATACTTCCAATTTACAATTTATTCTTAAGGGAACTCAGTGCAAGAATCTGGAGGCAGGAACTATGGGAAAACACTGCTTATTCTCTGGCTCAATTTCTGGCTTTATACACCCAGTGACCACCTGTACAGGGCTGGTATTAACCACAGTGACCTGGGCTATCCAATATTAATTGATTATCAAGACAATCCCAGACAGACGTGCCTACAGACCAGTCTGATTGAGGCATTTCCTCATTAGCAACGTCCTTTGCTCTCAGGTGACTCTAGGCTGTGTGAAGTTGACAATTAAAACTAGCCAGGACATATGATCATATCTACCAAGAGGCAGCTGTTCAGATCAAATCAGGTCATTATAAAGTTCAACAAAACCAAAAAATATCAGGAATTAACAATCACTGGTCATTAACATCCCTTAATATCAATGGACTCAAATAATCTATAAAAAGAGACAGGCTAACAGAATAGATACAAAAATAGGATCCATCCTTCTGCTGCATACAAGAGACACACCTCAACTTCAGAGATAAACATTACCTCTGCGTATAGGGTTAGAATGGACATAAAATGAGAACTGGTACAGCTATTCTAATACAACAAAATAGACTTTAAACTAAAATTAAAATAAAGAGATAGAGAAGGACATTTTTCATATTCATCAAAGGAAAAATCCACCAAGATGATGTCTCTATTCTGAACATCTGTGCCCCAATGAAAGGGCATCCATGTTTGTTAAAAAAAATTACTAAAGCTTAAATCACATATCAAACACTACACATTAATAGTGGGAAATTTCAACACCCCACTTTCACCAATGTACTGGTCTTCTAGACAGAGACTAAAGAGAGAAACAATGGAACTAACAGATGTTATGACTGAAATGATCCTAACAGATATCTACAGAATATTTCAACCAAACACAAAAGATTATACCTTCTTTCCAAAACCTCATTAAACATTCTCCAAAATAGAACACATACTCAGTCACAAAAAAGTCTCAACAGATACAAAAAAAGGGGGGCTAACCCCCTGTATCTTATCAGATCACCATAGATTAAAGCTGGATTTCAACAAAAACAGAAACTACAGAAAGCTTACAAATTCATGGCAACTGAATTACCACTGGTTCAAGGAAGGAAGAGAGAGAGAGAGAGAGAGAGAGAGAGAGAGAGAGAGAGAGAGAGAGAGAGA